CAAATCACTGGATATTTTCAAAAGTTTTCTAAGTGTCTGAAAAAAAAATATCATATATTACCAACAATTAAACCAAAACAACATTAAAGTCATATATAATTGTATTAAATCTCAATTTCCTGAATAATTTTTGTAATTATTATTAATGAAAAGATAACGTATTTATCATTTTTAAGTATTAAATTTATGAAATAAGTGTAATGTTTTTCTAATTGAATTTTTAATATCATTGGTTAAAAAATATTCATCACTTCATTAATTGAATGAATAAAATTGGTGAAATTATATAAAATATCCAATGTTTTTTTTTTTTTTATAAAACCATAAAGCATAATAATCGTCTGACAGTAATGTAAAAATAATATTTGTCTTTGAAGAAAAGAATTGAGATTCCTCATAATATTGATTTTAAAAAGTGTAGTCACGTTGGTTGCAGTTTATTAACTTAAAAAMATTACAGATAATTAACTATTGATATAGTTAGTCTTAATTAAAATAATGGTAAATTGTAATCTAATGTATAATAGGTAAGAAGTATAGTTTTCAAGTGGTAAAAAATTAATTTTTAGATATATGTGATATATGTAGTGTAGTTTATTCTATAAAATAATCTACTCATCTATTTTAAAATTACATTAATAAATCATTAACTTAATTTATATTTACCAACTATCTTTATCTGGAATGAAATAAGTAATAACTGCAGAGTAAACGAATAACTACTAAAAATGAGTCAAGTGTGTTAATGTTAATTTACTGATTTGTACAAAAATTATTAACCAAAATAGTGAGACTAATGTAGTGGCAAAAATTTAAAAATAAAAACAGTCAAAACAGTTACAACACATATAGCTGAGGTGCATTTCTACTACATATTATGATGATTTAAGCATAAGTTACACTTTATTAACATAATCAATTTAGTAATAAAAAATAATATACTTATTAACACATACTTGGTTTTCAGTTTGTAACCTGCCAATAGTTTCTTCTTTTTTACTAGCTTCTTCAGCTTCTAGACGAGAGGCGAGACTCATAACAGCCATCATTTCTTTGATGCGTTCCTCCTGTTGAATGATCAATGCATTTTTCTCTTCAATTGTCTGAAAAACAAAATTTAAAGAAAATAAATTTGGTGAATCTATTTCTTCAACATAAAGTATGAATAATTTTACCTTTGCTGTGAGATTGTTAACTAGCTGGTCGGCACTGGTTTGGGTAACAAGATGTGAAACCTGTGACCTATATTTACTCATGATCATCTCAAGCGCAGTCTGGTGCTCAGCAACCATTGCTCTTAATATTCGGTTTTCTCGTACAATCTCTTGTAGCTGTCGACTCTCGGTGCGTATTGAGTTGACCAGTTCTTCGTGTGGCAAACCTCCCTCTTCCATGTCGTTGAGTTCTGACAAATCGTCTGTATACTAGATAAAAAACGGTGAAAACATTTTAATGATTAACAGTAGGCACTATAGACTTGGTTATAAAAAGACAACTGGTACTCATAGATGGACTTAAGATTTGATTGTTGGAATCTCATCTAATTTTATTGCTTAATACTGTGTTCATAAAACATTTGCATTAAATTCTTATTCTGTAAACTCGATAATTTTAAAATTATAGATATAAGATATTGTAAATAAGAGACCAAGGGGTAAATCTATGAAAAATTCTAGATGTTTCAGGACTAACTAAAAAATAACTGAAAGCCGAGTCTCAGGGTAAATTCATATAATGGTGAGAGGGGGAAGGGGAGACTTGGGTACCAATCACTAGAAACCAACCTCAAGTCTACCTATGCCGGAACCCGTTGTTCGGTACATACATAATAATAATATTATTGTTAATATCTAATCACTTGTTTCATAGCGTCGATCTTCTTGTAGACGAACTGGGCTTGGGACAATAACGAGTCGGCTGCTGTGTCGTGTTCCTTGAGCTTGGACGCCAATCGCTTGGCGTCCGACAATATCTGCTGTACGGTGACGGACATTGCACTGGATCCGGTAGACAATCACAAAGTGTCGATGCAGTGCCGAAATGACGACAAAATAGTGTTAATGTCTTCTTGGCAAATCGCGGCGGACGTCAACGAGACGACGAGACGAGTGTACAACGGATTTTCGAAGTGCCATTGACGAGGACGACGCGTCCGCACTACTACTATTTACGTGCTCCACGAAGGCGACCACGAAACAACGATTGCTATTGCTATGGAAGTGTAAAATGGAATACGGAAGCGTAGGCAGACTAGGCAGTCGAGTAGGCGGCGAGCCCTTAAGGTCTAGGCCGGAGTGGGGCGACGATCGGCGGTACGGAAATTTCCAATCTCGACACGATAGTTTAATGACATTATAGGTACAATGTAATAATATGCAATATACGTCGTGTATATAGTAATATTTATGGCATGATATTGTTTTATAACGCTCGTGTCGTATGATGCGAATAACAAACGGACATGAACACCACAGTCGACAATATTATTTTGTACGCACACCGACTGCTGGTTAGTAAGTACGATATTATCGTTCTATAATGCGCCTCTGATCTTTACTAGTCAGTCACAAGTTCAGTACCTTGGCAAAGTGCAAATCTGTGTTAATAATAATAATATGTTACTGTTGCTCTGCAGTCTGCACACTGTTAATATTTTTACTTTGTTTTTCATTTTTTCAATATTGTTATCATTACACTACCACTGATAAGAGTGATATTACCACCGTTGTTTTGTGATTACCACAATGTAATATCATGCGGCAGCCTGCTGCTGAGCAGCTGCACATCGGCAGTTGGCCGTCGGGCCCGGGGCCTGTCGGCAGATACTGTTTGGCGGCTGCCGAGAGAGGTCTGATTTTTCGGAAATCAAGAACTCTCGCGACGTGTTTGATGACTTCCGTTATTTGTATTTTTATATAATAATATCCATCTAAATATTTTTTCCGTGATTCTTGGTAGATTAAACGGTAATGGACAGCGATATTGTTGATGTCAAACATGAAGTCGATTACGATCAAACATCGGTTACGAATTTTGTGTCAACAAATATCATCAGTCATGATTCTGTCGTGAGTAAATTTCTTTTAAAATTATTTAAACGATAATTATTGGGTTTCGTGATATTTTAGTTTCAAAAAAAAAAAAATCTGATTTACCGTAAATATAAGCTATAATTATTTACCATAATATTTGAGATAATTTTGAATAAAATGATGCATCCATTCTATCTTGAACTCTTAACGTTCTGTTTATATTATTTATAAACAAATTCTCTCGGTGTAGTGAATCAATCAATTTATTTCATCCACTGTAATTTTTAAAATTTAAACTAAACTGGTTTATTATGCGAACGTCAACTAAACCAGTGGCCTGTGGCAATTAAATTATTTTCTTCTTTATTCAAAGTTAGTTTTCTACTGTTCTCATTGAGGTCAACATTTTATCTATCGTCTTATTAGTCTCTGTATGCTGCAATACTATATGATTTATATTAAAGAATTGGCATGGCAATTTAAGTATCATTTAATATTTATACATACCTACAAATATAGTTTATTCTATAATAATAGTAGTTTAATCTATACAATTAATATTATTATTGGCTATTATCTAAATTTGGCCCTAGATTAAAGAAAAAATTTTAAATATAAACAATTACATTTCACTAAATACCTTTTACAACAATACATTTGCCAATTGTTTTTTGTTTTAGGTGATTTGTGGTAAATGCGAAAAACAAATGTTATATCAGGAGTATGATTCTCAACACCGCCAGACTCATTATGGGCTTTGTTGGATTGTAGACGTAGAAGATGAAATTGTACTGTTTAAATTTAAATATTTTTAAAATTATATAGAATTATTTATATACTTTTATATTTTATAGGATTTCTCAGACGCATCAAAAATTCAAGAAATATTAAAAAAAACTACTAACAAATCTAAAACTAAGTCAAAATTTATATGTGAATGGTGCGATACTGTTAAATTGACAATATCTGGATTTTCCAATCATATAACAAAATGTAAACAAAATGTAAGTACCTCAGTACTTATATAATAGCTCTATTTACTAGATAATTTAACAAGTAGGTAATTTTTATTACTTGTGAATAGACTTTCAAACTATTTCCAATAGTATCATTATTTATAGGTAAATAAAAGAAAAAACAAAAGAATTTAAAATTAAATTTGTCACTTGCTATTACACCATATTTTATGGCACACCTAGGTTCTAATATTTAATTACTAATTCAGATCAATAATAATTGTTTATTAATATAAATATTAAATTTACATTTAAATAATTGTAAAAATTAATAAAAATTATTTAATTTGAAACCTATCTTTTTTTATTTATAATATTTGTATACTTTAATTTAATTTTTGGTTTAGTTTTTCAGTGTTGGAATATATAGTTTCTGTTTTGGTGGTGTTTATATGTATGGACCCCTTGTATAAAAATAATTAATAGAAATTTACATCTAAAAATTATGTAATATATAATGATACAGTTTGTTGTCTGTTACTTAATAATATATACTTATAAATTAAACAAATTATACCTCAAATTATTTAATTACAAATTCTCTGTAAAACCTTTTTTTATGTAGAGTATTTATTTATGAATACTAAATAATAATCATTTAACCTAAAAATGCCTTCACTATATTTATTATATAAAAAACATTAATAAGTTGTTATATTATACAAGTTTTTATATATATATTGGTATAGGTACTATGTTCATTGAAGAGTGTTATATTAATATAACAAATTTACATTTATTGTTTTCTAATTTCATGATCAAGGACGTTAGCATGGAATATAACGATACCATGTATAATTGTGMTACTTTTTTTTGTAGCCGTTGGATTTTTGATGTTGATTTGTAATTGGAAAATTATAACAGTTGTGTTATAAAATTTTATATTCCTAATTAATAGCAAAATATACAAATTTAGTTTTTTTTCCTATATTTCTTAATTTTTTAATTTTTGTATCTTTTACGATTAAAAATTTGTCAACTATAAATAGTTCTATGGTATAAAATGTATACACTTAAAAATCTTTTTGTGTTATATTAACGTTTGAAAATTAATTTTCTTTTATAGCCGGTGAAAGTGTTGAGTGTAAATAATGAAATTCTGAACGAGTCTTGTGTAAATCAAAGTACATCATCAACTACTCATAATAATGACTCTATGGTAAGTTATTAAATTAACGTATGTTTTTTTTTTTTAAATATAAATTATATACCCAGTCTTAATTTATATCAATATCTTGACTTTAACACACCTTATGCAAATATGAATAAAATAATATTGGTTTTAAATTTATGTTTATAATAAAATATAAATAAATATTTTAAGCTTAAAAAAATGAAATTATAGGTAAAATCAAGAGTTTATAATAATGTCCTCTATACTTTTTTTTGTTGTTTGGTGTTTATGACTTGCATTCATTACTTATCTGTAGCATAGGTACAGCACTACATACTACTAGCATAGTACTTGCATTTTCAATCATGACATAGTTATTGCAATAAGATAATAAAAAAATGAACAACAGCCAGCAATGACACGCATGAAGTCTATTGAACTTTTATATTTTTTTGTCAAAAACAAATTTGGTAATTTTAATCCTCTTAAATGAGTGGTACACTTAAATTCTAATTATTATCAACTGGAACTAATACAAAATCAAATATTAAAAACTATAACGTCAATCCGATCCATTTAGAATACTAGGCTCAAGTCACACTGTTATTAAAAAATCAATTTTCTTAATTATTATTTGTGTAAATTTTTTATATTTATTTTGTTGAAATACCTTAGTATTAAATTAATAATAACATTTTCAAAATGTCTTGAGTGATATTTTCTTTGTATAGGGTATGATACATGGACAATCGACTATTTTACAAGTACTTACATTTTCAGTTCATTAACAAGTATAGACATATTTAAAGATAATAATAAAAGTTGTGTGTTTTAACAAATTAATTGAATGGTAAAATATATTTTCTTATTCTAAATTTAGAAAAGAAACATAATTATTATTAATTTTAATAACCTGATAGTGTATTTTGATTTATAAATAGTTTTAAAATTAATTGAATTAAAAAGCATATGTATTTATATTTTCAAACTATTATTTTTCAATTATTGTTTTTAGTTATCACATACTTATATTCCAATATTTACTTGTGTATAACATAAAGCGAAACCAAAATATATTCAGTAATACATTCAAATATGTTATTCAGTTATTCTATTTGTTATTGATGTTTAGGTGTCATGTGGTCGTTGTGGAGAAAGTATGATTTATGAAGAGTACATAAATAAACATAGACATACTCACTATAATTTATGTTGGTTAGAAGGTGAAGAAAAATTGGTATGTTAAGATGTTATTTTTAATATTTAAATATATGTAATTTGTATTGTAAATACGTATATTATGATAAATAATTAAAGAAAATTTATTTTTTAGGATTATTTAAATGAGAAAAAAATAGTTGTTTTACTCCGTGAATTTTTACCAAACTCTGTTGTCAAAAAAAAATTTATGTGTGAATGGTGTAAAGATTTGAAAAAAAGTGTGTTGGGCTTTGCTTCTCATGTAAAAAAATGTGCCATAGAACAAAAGGTAATCATTTTTTCGATTATACAATTGTACAAATGTATACTCCACTTTTATTTATGTAATTTTATTAACATGGATATATTTTTCGGCTGGAGGTCAGTAGAAAATTTGAGAAATTAGTAGTGTAAATAATTTGACACTGTGTGGCTCAATCTAGCAAGTTGATTAAAAGTTGTTGGAACTTTTTTTTTTAATACATTAAGGTACTAGGGCTTATGCTATCTATACATAGAGATTTATTTATTTATCTTATGGCATATTTTGACACATAATATACATAAAAAGTTGTAACATKGAATAAAATAAGAATAATAGAATAGAATAAAATAAAATAAAATAATCCATATAAAAAAATAGTCTACCTAAAAATGATGGTAATATAACAATATCTATTGTGTAGTTCAATATTTTCTCTACAATCTGATGTCCAAGGTAGCTATCCAATCAAGAGCTTCACTTGTTAGTCTAAAGAAATCACTCATTTTACCTTTGGATTTTCTTTTAGGACAGTCTGACACAATGTGTTGTATTGTCTGAGCCGCATTTCCACAATCGCAAGCAGGATTATCTCGAAGCTTCTACTGGTGCATAGAATAACCACACCTTTCATGACCGGTTCTGATATGGTTTAAAGATACCCACTCTTGACAGGGTAATTTGAAACCCTCCAGAGGTTGTGTAGGGTTAACGGCTAAGTCAGCATTCTCGAGTGTAAGATTATTCTATGCAGTACGTCATTCCGTGGATGAATTAAAGTTGGTCAGAATAAGGTGCTGTGATCCAGGTTTTCTAGATTTCAGACGTGTTTGTGGGGTGTTGCACAGCATTTGTGATAACATAGAATTGTTTAGCGGATCCTGTTTTACAATTAATCTAACGAGAGCTTACTTTCTTCTAATATCGGGGGGAGAGATATTAAACAATTTATATTTGAAAAGCAGGGATTTGAATACATACACAATCTACATCACCAACTTACTCAATGATATCTTAGCAAATTTACTTGCATATCAAGCCTCATTAATTTTATTTATAGATTTCTTAATCATGGTAGTTATTGGACTTTGTAAAAAAATCAATCCAACTTGAGATTGAAACAAATTTGATTTGGTTCTATTGGTTGTATTATCTTTCGGCGTAAAAACATATCCATGTTTATTATATGGGCAAAAATATTGTTCATGGTTTTATATAAAAACCATCCGCAAAGATATTGGTTTATTTTTTTAAAGCTCTTTTTTTAGCTTGCACTTCCACCTCCTAATGAAACTGATTTACTCCAACCTAAAGACGAAGAAATCAATATTAAAAACAATTCCATGGTATGTATATTTTTGTTTTTTTTTTTACAAAATTACAATGTTTAATTTTATTTATTTTTTCTTATTTATCAAGGTAATTTGTGGTCGCTGTAATAAAAGTATGACGTACAAAGAGTATGAAGATACCCATAGTGCAACACATAACAATTTATGCTGGATAATTGGTGATGAAAAACCAGTGAGTAATTTTTTCTTGCAATTTCGTATAAACAACATATTATGTAATGCAAGTTAATGACTAATAAATAATATTGCACTTAACGATATACACGTGCATAATGAATAGTTATTATTAATTAGGAACTAATCAATATCTTAAATTTTTCTTTTTGAAACTACTATAAATAAGTTTAAATTTTAAGATACTTTATTAGGTTATTTAGGGTATAAAGATTAGGTTACAATACTTATATAGGTGAAAAAAATATATTTATAAAATATAGCAAAATTAATAGCTTATTTTATCATAATTCAAAAAAAAATAATTCTTTAGATTATACATTTTTACTGATTATTCAGTTTTTTTTTTTTACTGAAATTTATCATATTATAGTTACTTATTAATATTAAGTTTGCTGCTGCTAAATTCTCTTTGTTAATTTTGTTTTTTTTTCAATAACAAATAACAGTATTTTGTCATATATATATATATATATATATATATATATATTTCAGATATGAGATATTATAAAAAATTAAGCCAAATAAAATCTATACGTTAGTAGATGTAGCAAGCATTTCCCTTACACCCATGGCAGATAATGAAAGAGATTCAAGTTTTATATTAAACTAAATAGCTTTTTTTGTTTAGGATTTCGATGATGAGAATGCGATACAATATTTGTTACGACTAAAATTACCAAAAAATGCCGCACGCCAAAAAAAAGTTAAATTTGTTTGTGAATGGTGTCAGAATGAAAAAAAAAGTGTAGTTGGTTTTGCTAGCCATGTGAAACGATGCACATCTAGACCGGTAAAACTGATAACTTAATTCATTTTGTGTTAAATAAATATTACATAATTTATACTATAATATATTAGGATAAACTGGGACTGCTCAACCAAAATGATAATGGAAATGATATCAATAAAAAATCTGATATAGAAATTACAAAAGAAAGAGATGATTCAATGGTAAGCTTCAAATGGTATAATTATAATTATTTATAGATGTGCGTTTTCTAAAATCGTAAGTTCAATGTTAAGGTGACTTGTGGTCGTTGTAAAAAAGAAATGACTTTCATTGAGTATCGTACTCATCACTATTCTAAACATTTTAATTTATGTTGGATTGATGGAGAAGAAATACTTGTAAGTATAGTTTATTAAATGGAAAATAATATTATTTTAATCTTTCATATATATATACATATTTTTTTTTGAATTAGGATTTAGAAAACTATGATGCCATATTAAATAAATTAAAACAATTCATACCTTTTAGTGCCGTTCGTAAACGGTCAGTAAAATTATGTTGTGAAGATTGTAAAACTGTTAAGAAAAGTATTTCAGGATTTGCAAGCCATGTAATATTTTGCAATAAAACTCCTAATGTAAGTCATATTATTAAATAATTGTAATATTATTACTGGTAACAGTTCTATCATATACAAATTATCTGAATATTAGTCTATTTTAAWATAATTTAATTTTTAGATGCTGAAAGAAGGGACGAATTTTTAAATTTTCAATCATTTAAGTCCTGTCTTCAACTTAACTGTCTTTTGATGATTTTTTTAAAATTCCAATTTTATTTAATACCTTAAAAATGGCAATGCTTAATAATATGCAAGGTTTTGCATGTGTCAAATACCCAACACTTGCTCCCTTTAAATAAATCAATACATGTTTTTTTTCAGGACATTGATCAATTTTTAACTAGGTGTGAAGACTGTGGAAATAAAGTTAAACCATCATCATTAATAACTCACAAAATGAAAAGTTGTAAAGGTATGAATTACATAGAAAATGACAATGATATCACCATGAATAATAAAGTGAGTTGAAGTTAAATTTTTCTAAATAGTAATAACATTAATTATGTATTAAGCAAATAATAATAAATAATTGTAAATACCACTAATTTTATCTTATTTTTTTAGTCAAAAAAATATTTCAAAATGCGTCGTAAAAAAAGGCCTCCAAACGTGTTAAGTTTTCATCCAGATACTAAATATATTACTGAATATTATGTAAGTTATTTATTTTTCACTTATTATAAATAAATACATTTTTTTTAACTATTGTTTTTATAGGATTTTATGTGTCGTTTATGTAATTTTGTTACAATAAGTGTCAATGACATGATTGATCATATTATGAAGATACATGATATTGTTTTAAATAAAAAAAAAGATAGTTTAGACCATTATACAAAAAGTAAGTTCTAATTTTTGTTGGTTCAAACATTTCATTATAATATATTAATTTAATATTATGCCATTGGTGTTTTTAAACAGATACATATGAAGTACACAGAAATATATACTTAAAGCCTTTATTGAATTATTATAATTTGTAAGATCAATTATAACTTAATAAGTAATTACTTTATATTTATTTATTAGAAACATTTAAATTTTTTTTATTTTGTAGCTTCACAAAAACATTTTGGAAGGATGTTTGTCACAAAGATTTTAATCCTGATGTTTTGCTCTTAACTAATGATGAAGCATTAAAGTATATACCCTCCATTCAACAATCTTGTAAGATATTTACATCAAATGATGAACAAATTCATGTTGATCTTTTCAAGTCTGTTTATGTCAATGGTATATTATTTATAGCCGATAGGTATGCTTACTATATTTTTAAATAACCTTACATTTATTTTATAGGTATGCATTGGCTGTTTACTGGCGGTCCTAATTGGGCTATGTCATGGTGTCCTGTTCCAAAAGAAGTTCAAACACAGTATCTGGCAATATCATGCCATCCTAAACCAGATCTAGAACATAAAGAGATGGAAATCTATGAATATCCGTCTCTTGTGCAGTTATGGAGATTTGATTCATTAACAAATGTTATGTAAGCTTTGTTAAGTGGATTTTTATTTTTAAATCTATTAAAGCTTATTATAATTATATTTTCTAATTAATAATATAATATTGATGATATTGTTTAATATTATTGACTTATAAATAATTCAACATTTCTCTCAGTTCTGAATCTGCCTCAACTACGCCACATATGTCATATGGTGTGGCTCATGATTATGGTGCTGTCTGGGATATGGCATGGTGCCCTTCTGGAGCTTATGAACCCCCCCAGAAAATGGGATTGTTGGCATTGAGTACATCTTGTGGAGATTGCCCTGTGTTTGCTATGCCTTTTGTGGATGATATATTAGAAATGTATTGCTTTAAATGGATAACAAATGTATTAATAAAATAAAAACTAATGATATTCAATGAATCTATTTAGGTTTTACATTTACAAAGCGAAACATATAGTAGCAAGAAATTTTGAATGTGAATGGATTGATGGTGGTGTACAATGTACAAAAGTTTGTTGGCAGGCAGTTTCACCATTCAAGTAAGAACAACAGTTTTCTTAATTTCTTATAAACTCTTCATAATATTCATTAAATGAATATTAGGCTTCTTCAACAATATAAATATTTTGATTTGACGATATTGATATCCTATTTTTTTTCTCTCTGAAATTTAAGTATCAATAATAATAAATTGTAATATATCGTACAATATATCAATAATCAATATACATTTTTAATTATAGTTCAAGCAACTATATTTCAAAGCATTGTTATATTATATAATTATTTTAAAAACAATTAATTTACTACTTACTAATCATTATTTAGTGAGTTATATGCATAGATGATATCGATACCTAAATTTATTTTTCAATATCCAAAAATATATTGTTGAAGAAGTTTAATGAATATAATTAAACATTTGGTAAAAAGTTCAACTAAAAATAACAATTTAAATCACATGCTAATATTTTACTACTGTGTATTTCTGTATTGATGATACTGATTAAATAATGTATGCCCCAACCGGTTTTTTTTAATATCACCCTCTGATAATTAAATTGTTTAAACTTTGATAACTGTTGTAGTAATAGTCATAAGATTCTATTTCATTCTATTTTGCTGTAATTAAGAATATTTAGTTATTAATTTTACAATCAAGGTGTTAAAACTGAGAGAAATATTATATACTTGAGGTATGGTAGGATACAGGAGTGGTGTATAATGCTTACTTCATTTACTGTATTTTAAATCTTCTGGCAATACATCCTTAAATTTTTTCTTACAATGCTATTAAAGTTTTAACATAATTTTTCAGAACTCTTATTTGTGGATATTCAAATGGTGTCGTGAGTGTTTTTCATATAAATTTCAAGTCAATATTCTTAGATAATGATATACTTTATCCAAGCCATACTTTCATAGCAAGTAGAAGTAGTATTACCGGTAAGCTTATTATATAGTTTTTAAAATAATTTACTTTCTTATAATGTGAATTACTTTTAAGGTCTTTCCATGAATTATTTTAATACTACAATATTGGCTACTTCAGCAACCGATGGCAATGTAACTCTATGGGATTTGAAGTCTACTGAAAACCCAATCTTTCAAAAGCGATCTTATTGTCCATCAGACTGTACTTGGCTTCAACAGTGTTACACATTGGTATATTGTAGTAAAGTTGTTAAGTAAGTTAGTTGGTTGCATAGTAATATTAAAAATATTTATTGACTGATTTATCATATTATTTTATAGTCCTGTATTTTCAAAAGTTCGTACTATTAATTTTTCAAACTGTGACAATGATGTTGAGGGTTATAATCCCGAGTTATATGTTCTAAAAAGTGTAACTAATAGAAATAAGATACTCGGTGACTGTGATATATTGAAGAATGATAAAAAAATAAATTGTGATGAGGCTGATGAAAACAAAACTCTTAATGAATCCAATATGAGTAGTGATGACGAATCATATAAATCCGATAACTCAAGTACGTATTGTGATCAAGATAATGCAGGGAAGTCTGGAGATTTACAAAAAAACATTGATGAAGAAGATTTTTATGGTCCTACTTTTTCTCAAAAGAGTACTCATTGGGTTTGTTAACAATTTTTTTTAATAAATGTAGATCAGTAAATTGTACAAAATATTTTAGTCTGTATCTACTTCGAATTGGATGAATGTCATAGCAACTGGAAATGAAAATGGAACTATTTATGAAAAGGTGTTTCTATCAGAAACCAATAATATAAGAAAAGGAAACTCAGTAAGTTACTTAAAGTTAAATAGTATTTATTTTTATAGTAAATTAATTTATTTCTACTTTGAAAAAATATTTTTCCACATTTCAAATATAGATACCGTTACACTTGAAGGTGCTACTTTGATTAGGAAACTAATTCAATCTTAAACTATATAGAAAACATTTATGAATATATCATATTTAACTTAGAATAAATACATCACCTTGATCAATAGTCTATGATAGTTGATATTTATCTTTTATTTTAGACAACACTTCAATTGATGGTAAGACCATTATTACCAAATGATAATCCTCAAGAGTATTCTGATGGTTACCGTTTTAAAGAAACCATTAAAACATTTGGACTTGAATCTAAACTTGTAAGTAATAATATTAAATTATGCATTTTAGTTCCTCTAAACCAAAAATATTTTATGTGCTTGTTCTGTTAGTTTCTTTTCAATGAAAATGCACCCAACGACCCAGACGCCAGCAAACCTTTGTTAAGATACCCTCTTGACAATATAACCAAGGTAAACATTATATTCCTAATGTTTTGTATTAAAGTATAATATTTAATAGTTTATTTTTATTTTTAACAGTTATCTTGGAATCAGAATTTTAATTCTTTTCGTTGGTTGGCGATTGGAACACAAAGTGGTTTTACTCTAATTTCACCATCACGAGCAATACCTGATAGTTGTATAGATTCATTTTATAAAACAATTTTTACTCCTATTGATAACATTCATGATACGACTGATATTTCTTTGTAATTATTTTAAACTAAGTCTTAGTTTAAATGACATCATTAAGAAAAACCATTTTTAATATTTGTATTTTATTAAAATATAATTAATTATAATGATAGAATAACCAGATATGTCTATAGTTATTTTGAAGTTTAGTATTCAGTTAATTTTTGATCGACCGGTAAAGCAAGTTACAAAATTCTCATACCATGATTTGACTATTTTCAATTTTGATTGTCTACATTAATCATTTAAGGTCTAAATCAGCGGTTCTCTAACTGTGGTACGCGTACCACTAGTGGTACGCGAAAGACTCCATGGTGGTACGTGGAAGGCTGCATGGTGATAGAGTGGAAAATTAAAAACAAATATTAGATTCTTAGCGTAGCGATGATTTTACAATATTGTGTTTTTTTTTTAATATTCAGATAATAAAGATTTTAGGTTAGATTTCACGGAAAATACGTCAAAAAATAATATGTCGTATAGGTATAACTGTTGATATTGTCGATATTTTTAATCATCAGTGGTACGCGACTGATTGATATTTTACTAAGTGGTACGCGATAAAACAAGTTTGAGAAATTATAATACTTAGGAATTTTTTTATTTTCATTTAGTTTTCCTAAACGTTATATTTGAATGTTGGTATTCTATCCAATGCAATAATCAGCTTAAAAAGTCAAATCTCTGAATTACATGTAGAAAAATAACTTAACAATAAATATTAGTATTTAAGACACCAAAAGATTTAAATAATTGATTTTTGACGAAAATATTATGAATGAAAAATACAATATTATTGGTAATACTGATAGTAAAATCATGATGAATACTATTATTAATATTTAAATACTGTCAGTAAGGATTTACTAAATTATTTGCTTAATACCAAATTACAAAAACCAGTTATATCCAAGATCAAAATTAATGTAATTATTTATTATCTTGAATATTGTCGGTAAACTAAAGAAAATGACATTAGTTACTGTATATTACTTTTACTAAATAATGATGATACATTTTTCTTTGTTTATTAATTTAGTTTTTTCTATTGAAGGAATTTAAAAATGGACATTTTATACAAATTATTGTAATATTTCAATTTATTATTGAACACTTGAATGCATTATAATAATTACAATAATTTTTTTTTCTTATTATGATGGCCTAGTTTGATTTAAAACGACTAATTATACATTTACTTTCAACTTTCTATTTCAATGATACTATGATCAAAGGCACAGACCGAGAATACTTGTGTTAAAGCTTTTAAGTTCCTACAACATTTTATACAAAACAATTGCCCATTAAATCTCACACATTTCTTCACAAGACTGTGCAGCTGCCTTGACACAATTAACCGGGTAGTTAGTTTTATTACAAACAAACAAAAATAATCATTTTATATGAAATTATACAATAAGTACATAAATTGTAATTAATAATATGGGGATAAACTTATAAGAATAAAAAAACAAGGAATACAATTTTAAAATTTATTTTTTTGCATCAATTACATTAAATATTCTTAAACTAACATTTTTTGCAAGTAAATTTAACAAAAAAAAAAAAAAAAAAACTTAAAAATAAATTAATAATAAAATTTTCTAGTAAACAACATTTTTTATGAACATTATATTAAAAAACATTAACCTACTTAGTTAGGAGCCATATAACAGTTTTCATCAAGAAATATGAAATCTAATCTAAATATTTTAATAGATGGCATTCCCTTATAATTTGTACTGAAAAACTAAAATAATATAAGTTACATTTTTATTACAATTGATATAATATTTAGACATACATTCTCAATAACTTACATACTATTAAGAAGATTAAAAAATATTTTTATAGTTTCAAAATATGAACAAATGAGACCAAAACAAAAAAAAAGAATTATAAATAAAAATTAATACAGTCATTATTTATTACTTTGCTAAGATTCTAAAACAATAATTATAAGTGATAACGAACAAGCAATAACAATCTATTGTAATCTATCAAATGACCATTACACGTACACCTACAATTATCAAAATGAGTAGATTAACAACAAGTAGATTAATGATTTTAGCGGAATCCGAGTCAGAATTAGGATACCGTATTACCGTACAACCATGTTTAAAAACCTAAATGTTAAGGGAAGTAATACAATTAAATCATAGAGAACATTTATAGTAGTATGTATGGAGTACCATATTCAATTAAATATTGTGGATTTTGGTTGGTTCAATATTAAATAAAAATGTATCTCGTTTAAGACGATTCATTGTATATAATATAACCAGCATCATAATTTATTTCAGCTACTCTGTTTTCTTGTATTTGGATTGCTGTGTAACAATTATCACTGTTTATAAAAGATAGAAAATCGTGGAGATGATTCTACTTAGTGTAAAAAAAAATTGCCAAAGTTACAGGAATCATTTATGTTTCCCTGTCGCTGAACTTCTAAGAGGCCTGTTTGCCTAAGAGGCCTGTTTGCCATGAGTCAAATGCTCTTATACAGTGAACATTTTGATCTATGCAAAATACGTCTGTTAGAACCAAAGAGGGGCAGAAACGTTAAGTTTGAAAGAATTTTTCAAGACAAGACAAAAGATTCTGAATTAAGTAAAAAAATTGTTAAAGTTTTGGTAATTGTAAGTGTTTAGCTGGCACTGAATTTTTAAAGAAACCATTTGCCAGGAGTAATATGATATCACTCAGTAACAAATTCTGTGTGCAGGAACCTAAGAAGGACAGAAACATCAAATTTGAAAAAAATTTCCAGCGCAATACAATTAAATCTATTATAAGTCAACAAATTGTTAAAACCTTAGTAATTGTATGTATTTAACAGGCACTGAATTTTTAAAGAAACCGTTTGGAAGGAGTAATATGATGTAACTCAGTAAAATATTCAATGTGTGAAAAACTTGTTTATTGTCAAGGTTAATAGAATATACAGGTTGTCTCACTTCAGAATTTATGAAAAAAATGGGATTGGGGGAAATATGATCTTGACGTCACTGCTGGAACACTGATGTGGTTCATGTCGTGTTTTGCGTTTTGTGTATGCTCACTAGCAGTCATTTTTAAAGTTATTGCGAGGGTTTTTTCCAAAAATATTTTTCAGTTTTTATATACACAACTGTAATAATAATGAGTGCAAGAGGTGGTTGTTGTAATTGTGCTGTTGCGACATGCGATTTGTATTCAGGAAAAACAAAAAAAAAATAGAATGACTGATATTTCGTTTCACAGGTACCTATTTCATTAATTTTTATAACATTAATGATACTATTTTTTATAATATTTTGTACATAGTTTTTACAATGTTCAGTTAAGACTAACCGATAGAATTCTATTGGTTATCACATGCAATTTTGCCGGTTAGTGTTATCAGACACTAACCAGACATTATAAGAACTACGTACAAAATATTATAAAAAAAAGTTAACAACTATTTAAAATACATAAAATTAATAAAAAAGTTAAAAATCATTTTAAATAAATATAAATTAAAATACCTAGCTATTTACACAAATTATGTATATAAATATTAACATATCCATTTGTGTTTATTTTATTTTGTTAGTTAATTACACTATAATTTTTAGGTTTCTAAAAGAACTTGATGTCCAGAAAATATGGACGCAAAAATGGAAACGGTAAGACGCCTGGAATCCCAGCAAATCTTACATTTGTTCCAAACATTTTAAATCGAAAGACTTTGTTCGTGATCTAAAATCTGAACTTATGGGTAGTAAACCTGTCAGAAGGTTAAAACCTGGTTCTATACCACACGCTGAACTTACCAACTTGTTTTTCTATTACATCACAATCTGCTTTAGAACGCAAGTAGAATAGAAGCAAAATCAATAAAAGAGGTATTATACCTATTATTATATTGTTACATAATAATAGTTTGCCAATTTTGTATTTATGAATAGTAGAAGTATTTTTTTTTTTCATAAACCTTAAGTTAGGTGTAAAGGTAGGAAATTAATTATTAATTATTTTTGTTACAGTCTCATGATCAGTTAATTGCTACTTCTCTTAACACAGAACAAACCACATCCATAGTTAGGTATGTTTGATGAAGCTTTCACTGAAAATGATCAAACTTTGGAACCAAATTATAAAATTATGTTTGACAAGTTATATAAAAAACATCAAAATTTAAAAAGTGAGAATGAAAAACTGAAAATTGAACTTTTATCATACAAAAACTTAGATTTTGATTATAAAAGAATAAATGAAAATCTCAGACATGGCATGAAAATTCTTCAAAAACGTTTGAAAACTTTAAATTCAGCTCTCACACAATCACAAAAATCTTCTTCAAAGTTAATAACAACTCTCACTCAAAATAAAACTATTGCTATATAAAGTAAAGCAAAATTATACTTGTCAACAATATTTACTCTAAATCAATTAGATCTTTTGATGAAGAAGAAAAACAGGTACATTGGACAGGAGAAGAAATATCAAAAGCCTTCACACTAAGATATTTTAACAAGCGAACATAATATGTGTTTGTCAAACATGAACAGCATTACCCACTTCTATATAGGTATATCAAATTTAAATACATTAATATGTTATTCACTTATTTAATAATAAGAATACATGTTTAATAATATTATTTTTATTATTATTTTTTTGCAAAGGACTGTCATCTCTTCAATGATGAGGGAAAAGATATATGCATGAGGAACGGTACTCTTCATGATGTTGTAGTGATCCCTCACTAACGCCTATATTTGAGTTCAATGACATTTGATGACGGTCAGGTTTTTCAAAGGAATAGTTTATAGAGTTTATAATTTGCACAACATTAAAAATTATTAAATGTTTATTAAATAAAAACTAACCTTCGATGGGTCTAAAGGTACCAACTGGTAAAGGGGGTCGGCTTATTGTATGTCACGCAGGATGTGCTCGTTACAGGTTCATTGAAGGGTCGAAATTGGTGTTTCATAGTAACAGCAGAAATACAATCGATTACAACGGCTAAATTAATGGTGAAGTGTTCAAGCAGTAGTTTATTCAATTGCTGAATAACCTTGAAGAGCCATCCGTTATTGTAA